CTATAAAATAAAAACATGTATGTGTGTAATATTTAAGCTTTAAGCATAAACACACAAAGTATAAGATCTAAATTAGAAACAATATACCCAAGCTAAGAGATCTTTGATATGCTCGTCATGGTTGTGGAGGAACCTTGAACTTGAATTTGACTTTGAATTGCAAATGGCTTCATTTCGATATTCCGCCAACCTCTAATAGATATGATCGTTTACGCTCAATCCATCCAATCTCCAACAGAGGATCTTTGTGTAGAATACCTAACAAGCAAATAAACACTCGATAAACATTGTTCATAATTGTTTGTTAATCATCAAAATTAAATTAGATAGTAGGCTCATAAACATGAGACCTAACATAATCCTAATTAGAGTCCAAACCCAATCCCTCTTCTCAACTAGTTTGAGTCACCACGAACTCAACAATCTCCACCTTAACTCACATCACGTTGGATCAATCCTTCGTGAAGATTTTCCAAAATCAGCCCCCACTTTATACAACTCCCTCCCAAGAGTATTTCTCCAAACTTACTTTTGAAGAACGTGGATGAAGTCCAGAGATGCTTTAAACTTCTCCACCGGAATGACCTTTGTCATCATATCCGTCGGATTCTTCTTTGTACTGATCTTCACCAATTCAATCACTTTTTCCTTGTCAATCCACTCTCGGATCTTGTGATACCTAATGTCAATCTACTTCGTCTACTTGTGAGACCTCTGATCCTTCGCAAAATGAATCGCGCTCTAACTGTCACATTGAATAAGTCCATGATGTCAAACATCCTGACCAAACCCCACAACCACAGAGCTTCCTTCGATGCCTCAACTACAGCTATGTACTTTGCCTCAGTCATCAAAAGAGCCATAGTTTCCTGCAACTCAGCCTTCTAACTAATGTCACGGTTAGAAACTATGAATACATACCCCGTCATTATTGTGACGCCCCTGGTTTCATACAAGGCTGCAGTCTAAGATGAAACCAAAGATATCAAACCTGCCATACACTCAATATTGTGGATAAACATACACCATCATATTAATATCGCTCTAGCAGATGTCAAAATAAGAAGTGAGGGTACAAACAAATATATCAAAGATGACAATAAAAGGAACACAATATAGAGAAGAGACATCCAATAATAACTATAATTTTGTTCCAACAGAAGAAAAAAAAAACATCTGGTAAACTGGAATAAGAACATCGAATCTCTAATACATGAGAGCCAATTGAAAAATACATAGACGCTCAGTCTCCAAAATGAACTGCATCACTAAGAGAAAACTAAACTCACAAATAGTTTATTGCGGAGCGTTAATTAACTAATAATTGACAAAAATCTACATTGAGTTCCCGTCAAGCTGCGACTCTCCGAAACCCTGGCTCGCTTCCTTAAAAAGATAGAAACAACAAGCGTCAAGCGCTAGCGAAAACATCTCCACCACCCCCAGGGGGAAGGGGTTAGGTGTATAAAAATACTGTCAAAGCATATGTGTGTGTGTATATATATATATATATATATATATA